TTTACATTCATTGAAAAAATGCAGAGTTCTCTGAATGGTGCATGTTCCAAGTGATCAACCTCCTGTGTTCACCAAGCAACAGGGCAGCCACTCAGCACAGGAAGCTAATGGTGATGATTGTAGTAGCAGTGCCTACTGCAGTTATTTTCAGCTTCCACAGAGATCCAACAAGTATGGCATATGCAGGGGCGGACTGACCATTTGTAAACTTGGGCACTGCCCGGGGTCAGTAGGGGGCCCCATGAGATGCCCCTGGTACCTTTTTCATAGGCTTTTTTGAGTTTGGGCAAGGACACAGGGGCCCCATGATCCCCTATTGCCCGGAGGGCCCCATGAGTTGTCAGTCCGCCCCTGGGCATATGCATACTTACATTGGTCCAAGCTGGACCAATGCAACTATTTAAATAGCATCCACGTCTAAGATTTACAATTAACTTTTGAGAATAGAAATACAGTCAGGTCCATAAACATTGGGACATCAACACAATTCTAACATTTTTGGCTCTATACACCACCACAATGGATTTGAAATGAAATGAACAAGATGTGCTTTAACTGCAGACTATCAGCTTTAATTTGAGGGTATTTACATCCAAATCAGGTGAACGGTGTAGGAATTACAACAGTTTGCATATGTGCCTCCCACTTGTTAAGGGACCAAAAGTAATGGGACAATTGACTTCTCAGCTGTTCCATGGCCAGGTGTGTGTTATTCCCTCATTATCCCAATTACAATGAGCCGATACAAGGTCCAGAGTTCATTTCAAGTGTGCTTTTTGCATTTGGAATCTGTTGTTGTCAACTCTCAAGATGAGATCCAAAGAGCTGTCACTATCAGTGAAGCAAGCCATCATTAGGCTGAAAAAACAAAACAAACCCATCAGAGAGATAGCAAAAACATTAGGCGTGGCCAAAACAACTGTTTGGAACATTCTTAAAAAGAAGGAACGCACCGGTGAGCTCAGCAACACCAAAAGACCCGGAAGACCACGGAAAAACACTGTGGTGGGTGACCGAAGAATTCTTTCCCTGGTGAAGAAAACACCCTTCACAACAGTTGGCCAGATCAAGAACACTCTCCAGGAGGTAGGTGTATGTGTGTCAAAGTCAACAATCAAGAGAAGACTTCACCAGAGTGAATACAGAGGGTTCACCACAAGATGTAAATCATTGGTGAGCCTCAAAAACGGGAAGGCCAGATTAGAGTTTGCCAAACGACATCTAAAAAAGCCCTTCACAGTTCTGGAACAACATCCTATGGACAGATGAGACCAAGATCAACTTGTACCAGAGTGATGGGAAGAGAAGAGTATGGAGAAGGAAAGGAACTGCTCATGATTCTAAGCATACCACCTCGTCAACGAAGCATGGTGGTGGTAGTGTCATGGCGTGGGGCATGTATGGCTATATTTATTGATGATGTGACTGCTGAAAAAAGCAGCAGGATGAATTCTAAAGTTTCGAGCAATATTATCTGCTCATAATCAGTCAAATGCTTCAGAACTCATTGGACGCCGCTTCACAGTGCAGATGGACGATGACCCAAAGCATACTGCGAAAGCAACCAAAGAGTTTTTTTAAGGGAAAGAAGTAGGAATGTTATGCAATGGCCAAGTCAATCCCTGACCTGAATCCGATTTGAGCATGCATTTCACTTGCTGAAGACAAAACTAAAGGGAAAATGCCCCAAGAACAAGCAGGAACTGAAGACAGTTGCAGTAGAGGCCTGGCAGAGCATCACCAGGGATGAAACCCAGCGTCTGGTGATATCTATTCGTTTCAGACTTCAGGCTGTAATTGACTGCAAAGGATTTGCAACCAAGTATTAAAAAGTGAAAGTTTGATTTATGATTATCATTCTGTCCCATTACTTTTGGTCCCTTAACAAGTGGGAGGCACATATGCAAACTGTTGTTGTAATTCCTACACCGTTCACCTGATTTGGATGTAAATACCCTCAAATTAAAGCTGACAGTCTGCAGTTAAAGCACTTCTTGTTCTTTCATTTCAAATCCATGGTGGTGGTTTATAGAGCCAAAAATGTTAGAATTGTGTCGATGTCCCAATATTTATGGACCTGACTGTAAGTCAGCTGCATTTACTGGCTTGTCTTTAAACATCCATATCTTGCCATTACTACAAAGTAAGTTGCTAACTAGATCAAGCATGCAGCCGGTAATGAAGGCTGTGTTCAATTTAACTGACCAATCATGAGCAAGGATAACATTTTTTTTTTAAAATTCCCTTGCAAATAATTTGGTATTTAAAGTGGAACTTTGTGTTTAGCCTTTAAAAATGGGTGGTCAGGCAAATTTTTAATGCAGTAGAGATATGCTTTGTCTCTTCTGCATTAAAACTACTTGCCTGTCTGTTTGCCCTTGTACAGTAAACCACGCATACGCAACTCACTGTACAAATGTGGCAATGCAGAGTCTGATTGAACTCTGTCGCATGTGAAGGAGTGATGTCATCCCATCCGGCCAGTGACAGCGGCTGGCGATCATGCCCCAGGAAGCCGGCCATCCCAAGATGTCAGCCGCTGGGCAGAGAGCTCGAGGACGCCGCATCCCTGGAGTTGAGGTGAGTAATGTAAATTAAACACAACTTCACTTTACTTGCTAATATTCAATTTATGAATTGAACACTTTTCAAAATGAACATTCACTTTGCAGTGAAAAAGCTCTATTAGTCTGCTGTAACAATGATTCATTTTTCTTCTGTTTTGCACTAAAAAAGTAGTAGAAAAACGTGTGACCATTTATTCATATGGAACCCTTCACACTGGTCTGCTGCGTTTTTTAAAATCCTGCTTCCTGCATTCTTGGTGCAGGTTTGGTTTGGTAAAAAAAACAGCCTCCCCATTGAAATCAATGGAAAATACGGCAAAAACGCATAAAAAAAAATGCACCCTTGTTGCATTTATGGTGTGGATTTTTGACTCACACATGTCCTGTAAAAAGCGTTCCGCAAATGTGGTAAAATGCAGTAAAAATGCATCAGCATAAAACTAGCTTTATAGTATATCAACTCCAATGAGTTAACAGAGCAATGACATCTGTTGGCTTAGCAGAGCAGTGACTCATCTGAAGGCTGAGTCTAAGGCAACCCATACATATTTAATTTTTTTTTTTTTATTTGTTCAGCCAGGGGGTCCCCCATCCACTGCATGTGGATTGGGTAGTCCTTCCTGCTGAGTTATGATATTCTGACAGTGGGGAGATTTCCCCACCTTTAGAATACACTGATCAGTGCTGCCGGCTACAGCAGTAGGCACTGATCAATCAGGAAAAGACCGACAGGCTGGTTGTACAGAAGTCGATCAGTAGAATGACTTTTGTACATCCAGTCTGCCCATATATGGATGGAAATTTTGATGGAAAGCTTTATCCATGCATGGCTGGCTTTAGATTGTTTTTTTTTTTTTTCAGATAAACTGAGCTACAAAGCAAGTTGCTCAGCAGTGCTGGCTCATTAGACAACCCACAGTGCTTTGGGAATCCCTTATCATATAATAAATGTCAATTTTTAAACCAAAGATTGTATGTATTTATAATGTGCACTTAAAAACATAAATAAAAAAAAACATGAAATATAATTGACCCCAAATTATTGTTTCTTTTACTAGGGGCTTATACACAGTGGGTGGTGTATATGTGCAAGTATAAGGTATGGGTGCACCATCCAGCCCTGCTGCAAACAGCCTGTAAAAGTCTATGAGAGGCTGACAGCTCCTGTGGCTTAATGGGGCTGGATAGTGCACCAAATGGCAATTATGTTTAGGGCTTTATGTGCTCAGGGACAAATGCGCAGAACTGAAGAAGTATGTGTTACAAGGCCTTTTTCTCTGGGCACATACTGCCCTAAATGTTAGTATCACTAGGTGCACTATCCAGCCCCATCCAGCCACAGCAGCTTTTGACATTCTCGTAGAGCATGGCAGGCTGCAGGCAATGGAGTTGGATGGCGCATCTGTGCGCTCCATTCCTCTGGGGAGACTGGAAAGACCCAGTACCTCCTGATCTGAACATGCTACCTTGGTCTGGCCTGGGGCTGGGGACGCAAAAAGTCCGCAAACTCAGTGCCCCCTGGGGAAGACGCTCTCAGGGGTGTCACTAGTAACACTTGGGTGTGGGACCCCACGGTGTGAAGATAAACACATGGCCACTGTTTTTCACTTCTTTTTGCACAGCGCCCTAAGGACCAGGTCTTTTGGCTAAGTCCGGGGCAATTTTTGCTACAGGCCTCAGGGCCTGGTCTGTGCACTATTAGGCACGGTACCACTTTTTATATTATTTATTTATTTACCACTCCCACGTTTTGTCACTTTTTCTGTTCTTATGTGTGTGTTTTTTCACGGATGGAGGGTGTGGGTCCTCGGGCCTTACCTGAAGTCTAGGGGGAGGATGTGTGGCCATTACGGTACCTTCCTCCCCTGATCCCTAGGGGGTTTTTCTCTTCGGGAGAACCCCCTCGCCTAGTACTGGATGTCCGGCTTCGGCTGGGCATAAGGAACGGTGGTCCACCAGGCCTTTTGGCCAGGAGGACCAAATGGGAACCTTGTCCCTGTCAGGAGCTTCGTGCCCCGGGGGATCAGGCGAACGGTCCAACCCTCTCGGGGGTAGGACAAACACACCCCTAAGTGCACGTTTTTCGTGTGGTGTTTTGCACTTGCACTTTTTTTTGCGGACACTTACGGGTTTTTTTCGATATAGTTGCACGTTTGCGGACTTAAAAAAAAAAAAAAAAAAAAAAATCTGTGCGCTCCACCACCCTCACCTGAATGTTAGAGTCTCATGCATCAGGGCTAAACACCCAGTGTGCATGAGGCCTAAGACAGCCGCCATGTTAAACATAAAAGTATTTGTAGCAGAGATAAGTCACTGCTGATGCTATCACAACCTGACATTGTTTTAATATTGTAATGTTAAATGTTTATAATGTGTAAATGTTTTAATGTTATGTTTCAGATTCGGGAAGAATAACACTGAGCTATACTCATCATGCCCCGGTTGTTGCCTGCACAAGAAGCAGCTAAAATATACCACACCAACTATGTTCGCAATGCTCGTGCCATTGGTGTCTTGTGGGCAGTGTTCACTATATGCTTCTCCATTATCATGGTGGAAGTGTTCATCCAGCCATATTGGATCGGAGACAGCCTAAATACGCCTCAAGCTGGTTACTTTGGACTATTTAGCTACTGTATAGGCAATGCACTGACCTCAGAGCTTATCTGCAAAGGAGGCGCCTTGGACTTTGACACTGTACCTTCAGGAGCCTTCAAAACGGCCATGTTTTTTGTAGGGGTGTCAATGTTTTTGGTGGTGGGCTCCATGCTGGCATTCGGTCTTTTCTTCTTCTGCAATTCAGCAACAGTGTACAAGGTCTGTGCATGGATGCAGCTGGCTGCAGGTAAATGCTAACACTATTTATGTTAAGCTGGGTATACACACATAGATTATTTTTGTTCAACCTGTTGTCTGAATGAAAAGAATCTAACAGATCTCCCCATCCATGCTATACAGTGCAGATAGAGGAATCTCCCACTGTGGCTATTGTATTCTGACAACCACATCTGTCACCTGTCAGAATACCAGATCAGTGGCTGCATCTGATTGAATAATGCCATTGTATGGCCGACAGATTTCTTAATTTTTTTTCAATCAAAGGGTGTCGGGTTGGAGGCAAACAACAGGGCTACCCATGTAGTGAAATTAATTTAGTGTATACTCAGCCTTAGCATAATAAAAAAGGTAATATTTTCATTAGTTATATCAGTGTTTTACTGCAATTTTGTGCTGTCATCCTGTCTTGTAATTCTACATTAAAGTTGGCCATACACATTTTCTTAGGGCTCCCTTACACTTGCTTTGACTTTAACATGCATTAACGCGCCTACCGCTTTAACATGCTTTTTTGATGTTTTTGATGCTTTTGTGATGCTTTGGTAATGCTTCAGTGATGCTTTTTTGAAGCTTTAATGAAGCTTTGATAATGCCCTGTGTGTGTAGATTTATTTTAAAGGGGTCTAATAGAACACTAGCTCATTTGTACCCTTGTTCAGTAGATGTTCAGCAGATCGCCAGCTCATTTGTACCCCTGTTCAGCAGATCCCTAGCTCATTTGTACCCTTGTTCAGCAGATCCCCAGCTTATTAGTACTCTTGTTCAAAAGATCCCCTGCTCTCTCTCTGTCCTTGCTCACCTCCCAATATAATACTCCCACCACGCTGTGCACCATGTGTGACATCTGCTAGTTTCTCCTGCTCTGGTCCCCTAGCTCTGCTAATCCTATGCTGCCTAGTCATCTCTCTCCGATTCCCACTCTCCTTCCACTATAGCGCTCCCATGTTGCATCTCACTTGTGCCATCTGCTAGTTGCTCTTCTCCAGTCAGGACCCTGCTTACCTTCCTGATGCTCCATGGTGCACACCAGATGTGATGTATGCACCAGACACTTCCAAAATACACAGCCCTTGTCAAAAGTTTTGAGAATGAGACAAATATTAATTTTCACAGAGTCTGCTGCATATACTCCAGAATGTTATAAGGAGTGATCAGATGAATTTCAAATAATTGCAAAGACCCTCTTTGCCATGAAAATTAACTTAATCCCCCCAAAAAACATTTCCATTGCATTTCAGCCTTGCCACAAAAAAAGACCAGCTGACATCATGTCTCTCGTTAACACAGGTGTCCGTGTTGACAAGAACAAAGCTGGAGATTGCTCTGTCATGCTGACTGAGTTAGAATAACAGAGTGGAAGCTTTAAAAGGAGGGTGGTGCTTGAAATCATTGTTTTTCCTCTGTTAACCATGGTTACCTGTAAGGAAACGTGCAGTCCTCATTGCTTTGCACAAAAAGAGATTCACAGGCAAGGATATTGCTGCTACCAAGATTGCACCTAAATCAACCATTTATCAGGCCATCAAGAACTTCAAGGAGAGAGGTTTAATTGTTGTGAAGAAGGCTTCAGGGTGCCCAAGAAAGTCCAGCAAGCAACAGGACCATCTTCTAAAGATGATTCAGCTGTGGGAGCGGGGCACCACCAGTGCAGGCAGGTGTGAATGCATCTACACACACAGTGAGGTGAAAACTTTTAGACGATGGCCTGGTGTCAAGAAGGGCAGAAAAGAAGCCACTTCTCTCCAGGAAAAACATCAGGGACAGACTGATATTCTGCAAAAGTACAGCGATCGGACTGCTGAGACTGGGGTAAAGTCATTTTCTCTGATTAACGCCCTTTCCGATTGGGGCATCTGGAAAAAAACCTTGTCTTGAGAAGAAAAGGTGAGCGCTACCATCAGTCCTGTGTCATGCCAACAGTAAAGCATCCCGAGACCTTTCATGTGTGGGGTTGCTTCTCAGCCAAAGCAGTGAGCTCACTCACAATTTTGCCTAAGAACACAGCCATGAATATAGAATGATACAAAAAACATCCTCCAAGAGCAACTTCTCCCAACCATCCAAGAACAGTGTGGTAATGAAAAATGCCTTTTCCAGCATGATGGAGCCCCTTGCCATAAGGCATAAGTGATAACTAAGTGGTTTGGGGAACAAAACATCAAAATTGGTCAATCCTCAAGAGGCAGGTGAACAAAAAACCCCCCACAAATTCTGACAAACTCCAAACATTGATTATGCAAGAATGAAGTTGACAGCATGTCATGGTGAATTGCAGAGATCTTGAAAACGAAGGGTGAACACTGCAAATATTGACTTTTTGCATAAACTTAATGTCATTGTCAATAAAAGCCTTTGACACAGGGGCGAACTGACCATTTGGAAACTCGGGCACTGCCCGAGGGCCCGAGGGTCAGTAGGGGGCCCCATGAGATGCCCCTTGCACCTTTTTCATAGGCCTTTTTGAGTTTGGGCAAGGACACAGGGGCCCCATGATCCCCTATTCCCCGGGGGCACCATGAGTTGTCAGTCCGCCCCTGCTTTGACACTTATGAAATGCTTGTAATTATACTTCAGCATACCAGAGTGACATCTGACAAAAAGTTCTAAAAACACTGAAGCAGCAGACTTTCTGAGAATGATTAATATTTGTGAGATTCTCAAAATATTTGGGCATGGCTGTATACACATAAATCAGAAGTGACTGCTGATGATGTCTTTCCAGTTCACTTGCTGGTTTACCAGTGCATCCTGGGATATCTCATACCTACAGAAGCTAAGGTTCAATAAAAGCTTCTCAAAAGCTGCAGGTGCTGTAAGCGAGCTTTGTCATAGACTTCGATGGAGGCTTTGGAGATGCTTTGAAGCACCAAAAAAGCGACATGGGGTATAATTTTTTAAGCAAGGCAAAGCAATCATAAAGTGTAAACAGGACTGTAAAGTAACTATGTAATTTAGGGACAGGTGCTTTGATTGGCATTCAGAGTACTAAAAAAGCACGTGTAAATGAGCCCTTATTCAATTTCCTTTGGATTTACCTTCCACTATGTAGTGCAAAGGCCTGCCTGATTGCATACAAATTGAAAGTGTTTAGGTCTAACTTCATATTATATGGTTTTGGTGAATCTAAAGGAAAAATTCTACATGAAAATTGTATGATGTATGGACAGCCTAAGGGTTGATTCACATGGATCGCCACATTTAGGTGCATTCCGCATAGTTTTGTATGCATCTAAATGCAGCACTATAGTAATCATTGAATCCATACACACAGCTGCATCTACAAGCGGAAATGTGTGCTACGTTTAGCTGTGTAAAAAGAAGTAGGAAACAGCTGTGTCCAGGGCAGCGCAGAGCTCCAGTTTTTTTGTGCGCACATGCATAAAAACATGCAAACACATGTAACTGCATGAACGCATGCAATCATAAGCCATAGTGGAATTGTACATTTCTAAAGTTGTATGCATCTAAACATGTCTTCACCAGACTACTTTAGGTGCGTATTTTATGCAGGATCTTCTGCTAGCTCTGCCAGCAAGAACCCGTATTCTGAAAATGACATATAGGGAACACAGCCTAATAGTTGATCCAGCACCACATCCCCCAAATCTGAGGTAGCAAAAGAAAAAAAAAAAGAAAAAACGGGGGATTTTAGAGGTGCCATAAATAAACCGAAGAAAAAATAAGATGCATAGCCTTGATTATAAAAAATGATACATAAAAACCTTTATTAACAGATGGCAAGAATAAAATCACTCAGTAAAATCAAATAGACTGTAGTTGCACCATCCTTGAAAGAGCGCTAATCCCTGCTCTCCGCTTACCCATCAATCAATAAATACATATGTACTTTACAAAATTACTGAAGGTAGAGCAATAGTAGACCATATGGGTGGACCAACAATGCAGGGAAGTATGCATGGGTTCAGATGCATTTCGCAATGTAATGCTTCCTCAGGAGACCCCCAGTAAACAAGGAATGAATCACAATTAGGGTACCATATATTTGAATAAATAAGTACATACACTGAAAAGTAGAAAATAATACATTAAAGTCATGTACTCACATTACATACAAAAATTAAATTGTGTATGTGGCGCTGTATTCAGAGAGGGAACCACCCAGAATGCCCCCGGGGGATAAAACAAAACAAAATTGTGGATGGTACAAAGGAGCTCCCTCTGGCAGGTTCAGAATCTGCATTCCGTGCAGTAAATATGCATATGACCATGTGAATGAAGCCTCAAACTTTCAGTCCTGCCATTCTGATTTTTTGCTGTCCTTGCAGCTGCTGGCTTGATGATTGGCTGCCTTATTTACCCTGATGGGTGGGACTCTGCAGAAGTCAAGCGCATGTGTGGAGACAAGACTGATAAATATTCAATAGGAGCATGCACAATACGCTGGGCATATATCCTAGCTATCATTGCCATCCTGGATGCCCTCATTCTATCTTTTCTGGCATTTGTCCTTGGGAACAGACAGGACAGTTTGCTGCCTGAGGATTTCAAGATCCAGAGCAAAGGTTAGAATAATTCATTTTTTTTTTTTTGCTAATGGTTGTAACAGTATAAAATTACAGTAACCAATTACTAAAATAACCTTACCAGAAATAGATTTAAAGAAGTAACACAACAAAAATCATATGTACAAAGTAAACAACAGAGCTGTTTAAATACACAACGCGAAAAAACCTAAAAGTCTCATATTTGTTAATCCACACTGACAGCATCAAACTATTTTTTTAAATTCAATATTTGAGCAGTACACAGCATAGAGCTTAGGAAGTGTTCTCAGCAATCAGTAATTATTTTTTTATATTTGGTAATGTTCTTGCTTTATTTTTGACAACAGTAACAACACTATTACCTCTGATTGAGCACTTTTGGATTCGATTTAACTGAATGAATAACTGTAATATTTAGCATAGTGTGATTAAAGTGAGCACCACCATTCAAATCCTGAATTTACCAATGAATATGTCCGTAGTTGATAATCTCTTATCAGATTTTTAAAAACCTGAATCTACAACTGTAATGCTACCCCCCCCCCCCCCCCACAGGAGCCGCTAGGTATGATGGGTCTTCTGTTCTCTGTTACGTCTCTGTAACTGCTTCTTCCCTTCTGACACACCTGGATATATCATAACGTGCTGCAAGGAGCCAGGATGGCTTAGGAAATAGTATAGTAACACAACTGTATTAGCACACAGGAAATAGACCACAAGCTGCTTGATGGTGAATAAAGTAATTACTGTATAATATTGCAGGGATAGCAAAATGCAATGCATAGAACAATAATCAAGGCAATAAATATGTTTCAATTTACTGATGGGAATATTGGCCTCGCATTAACTTACACTGCAATAAGACTAAACCCCACTACATTAGTACATTCACTAGCCACTTTACTAGGTACACCTGTTCAATTGCTTAACACAAATTGCTAATCAGCCAATCACATGACAGCAACTCAATGGGATTGATTTACTAAAACTAGAGCGTTCAAAATGTGGTGCAGCTGTGCATGGAAGCCAAGCAGCTTCTAAATTCAGCTTGTTCAGTTAAGTTTAGCACACCCTTGGGTGATGCTTGGCTAGATATATAGGTTCAGCTCCCACCTGAATCTGGTGACACCTCCGATTATACCCAGAACACTTCGACACTCTGAGAATATTTTTATATGGGTTTTATTGAAGAAGACAAACCCTGAAAAATAACTAGCTGATTTAACACAGGTAATGTAAATAAAACACAGATACCACTTTGCATAACACAGTTAGTAAGAAGTCACAATTCACTCGCCAAAGACTCCAAAAACTGACCGGTATCACACTGACTAGAGTGACATATGAGAGTGACATTGACACCGGAAATAATAACAGTTAATAAGGTTTAGCAGCTTATTGACATTTGCTATAGCAGTACTATCTAGAGCAGAAATGTCCTACCTAACCACTGGCCAGTGGGATGAAAGTCTCTCAACATTGGGGCCCTTTAATCAATGGAAGAGTGCTCACTCTCTGCATGGGCGAGTATTTGTAATCCAGGGGTAGCAGGATAGCACAGTCTCCTTTAAGCAGAATCTTCCAGTGAACATTGCAATAGAAACAACAACACTTCAACAAATCTTTACCATACAGGTGAAATCCTGATGTACTGACACTTGCTCAGTATATTCAAAGCAGCAAGCTTCTGTGGGGATTTGGAACTAACACACTCTTCAGCCACAGCACAAGTTTTGAGGAGACAATCACCAGTAATATATAGAGACAGAGTTCTCTCATCAATCAGCAGCAGGAATAGCTAATTCTGAGCAGCTTGGGCTTTCCAAGATCTGTGTCACTCTGAGAATTAGAGAACAGGCTTTCTCATGACCATTCTCCAGAGATGAACAGCAAATGCAGCAATATCAAAATCCCCTTTCATCACAGAATACTCAATGTTTCTGCATTGTCCTCTAGTTAGCATTAGACAGTAGTAGAAATCCTCTCTCTTTCAGCAGCTCCAGACTTTGAGAGACACGTGCACTTGAGTGGCTGTAATCCTGAGTGTCAGGCAGGACAATCCTTGGTTTGCACACTGTTCTCCTGCAACAATTCCTCGGCTACACACTCCCAGCCCAGCCCATGGGCTCTAGCAGCACAGAGAGTGAGACTTTACACCAAGAGCCCTTGCTCCATGCGGTCCCCTGAAAATGTCTGCCTCCTCACATGTGCTTCTTCCCTTTTTCCTCTCTCCTTTCCTCCACAGCCAATCATAAGTTCAGCTGCAACAGTGCTGCTATGGGTGGATCCTTTTCAGCTGTAGCAACAACCAATCAGAGCACAGTCCTGCTTTCCCTGTCTATCACTCACAAAGAGGGAAAAGAAAAAAAAAAGATTTGCAACTATTGTTTAAGATTTAAAGCAACCAGCACATCTCTACACTAGCTTTAACAGTAAAACATGGAAGCTGATTAGTTTATATGCAGAGCTTGGCCAGATTGTCACTGCTCCTGTTTTAGTAAATCAACCCCAATGCATTTAGGCATCTAGATGTGATGAAGACGACTTGCTGAAGTTCAAACTGAGCATCAGAATGGGGAAGAAATGAGATTTAAGTGACTTTGAATGTGACATGGTTGTTGGTGCCAGATGGGCTGGTCTGAGTATTTCAAAAACTGCTGATCTACTGGGATTTTCACGCACAACCATCTCTAGGATTTACAGAGAATGGTATGAAAAATATCCAGTGAGTGGCAGTTGTGTGGACTAAAATGCCTTGTTGATGTCAGAGGTCAAAGTGTAGTAGCAATTTCCGCAAAATCAGATAAAACTCCAGACTCGGACTTCTGAAGGAAACAACTAATTTATTAAAAACAGCGCTGTTTTGACTCAACAGATGGCTTGTGCCCTCATCTGCTAAGTGAGTTATAGAAAACGTCTTAGAAGCGTATATACGAAAGATTACTTCACAAGGCATACATTCCTTTTCTACTTTCTATACACTCAAAAGGCTTCCTAAACTCTGCAGAATAATCTTGGCCAGCAACTAGAGATAAGAAATACCAGCTACAGACCCATACAAAGGAAATAAGGGAGGGGGGAAGATGAGCCAAAAACCTTTCTTCTACAAACACAGGCTGCTAGAAGTGTTAGAGTTTAAAGGGGAACTCTACAACATCTGGGTGCTACCATAAAAGGAGAATGGGCAGACTGGTTCGAGATGATAGAAAGGCAACAGTAACTCATGTTCATATGGATTAAAATCTCTGAGGAATGTTTCCAACACCTTGTTGAATTTATGCCACAAAGAATTAAGGCAGTTCTGAAGGCAAAGAGGGTCCAACCGGGTACTAGCAAGATGTACCTAATAAAGTGGCTGGTGAGTCTATGCACAGCAAAGAATGACACCAACCATGAACGCATGAATGGCACAAAGAAAAGGCTCAATGGAACTCTTGGTAATAGCAATTAAAAAAAATTGTCTCTAAGTGCACTCTATCCATACACTAAGGGGGTGTACATGTTCCTGGAAGGGATACCCCTGGGAATGGTGATAAAATACCTGGCACCTTAAAGGATAAGTTGACCTTTTAGACAAAAATAATAAAGGCACATTTTTTTTGCAGGTAAAAAAATGTGCATTTATTGTTTTTTGTCCAAAGAAGCCTGGAAAGCATTTCACCAGTGATCAGTAGATTGCTGATGCCATGCAGGTCTCCTGCAGACCTGTCACAATATCTGCTTGCTGTACGGGATGCACGAGCAAACAGATATTCTGACAGGAAGCTTCAGTGAACTACCACGACGCTCCACAGCACCATGGTAGTTCATTGAAAACTACAAGCCCACAGCCGCTAAGGCTGTCAGGACTTGCAGTTCATTAATTCACGGAATGATTGATGGGGCCGTGTGGGCAGAGCCTCTCGCTGCCTAGCTGTTTTCAAATCTGACAGATAGTACGGGAAACGTCTAAGGAGGGGAGGCAGTGGGCGCGGCTGCAGCTATGGGAACATGTTACATGTCCCACCCAAAAAATGGGTGGAACACGTACTGTAACGTGTTCCCAAAGGTGGATTTATTATTTAACATGTATATAATCCAGTGGATTGGGGCCCTCCGGCTGAAATAAAAAGGTTGCGGGCAGTCCTTAAATAGTTAAATTACCTTAAAGCCATAAAAACACAAACCATACAAAATGCTTATCTTTTTTTACCTATATCCTTTATAGCACTGTTTTCCCAAAGACTACAGGTCTTATCAAAGCATGATTCAGAGGACTGAAAAAAGTTCTGAAACTCATGGGTATTTTTAGTGTTATGAATCTGCTCTAAGTGCAGGCAACCAATAGGGTTTGGGTTGTGATTCATAATAGCAGACACACAATTCTGTGTGGTTGGGTTGGGTTTGGCTGTGTAATAAGACGCTGACTTTTTTTTCTTGTGTTTACAGAAGATGAAAGTGGCTGAAAAAAGAACCACACTTCAAGAACATATCAAGCAGTGTGTTATATGTATGTACTGGACATGTACTCTACCTTGGAGATTACACATTCACCAATTGAGAAGTGAATACATGGAACAACATGAACTGAAATGTGTATATTGTCTCATCTGTTCATTCTCCTTATACATTAAACTTGACCAGTTACAACTGGAAAACGCTTTCATTTTTATACTTGAGTATGATATCTTTGTAAGAAACTGGAAGAAAATATTAAAGACCGGTGCAATATCTAATTATTGACTATGCCAATTCATGAACTCGTTGAAGGGCTTGTTCATACTAAGGACTCTTTCTTGCATTTTCCAGCACAGGCAGAATGTTAGCTTCAGATACTTGCTTTAATTTACTACCTAGCAGCTGTCAATGACCTATGAAATGTGATTAATTGTTATGAACAGTGCTTCCACTGGCATTATGTAAAGACTGGATTCTAAAAGAATCATTGGGATACCGGCATATTGGGGGAGAGGATCTAAGATTCCCAGGCTGATTGAGCTGCACTGACACCCACCAACACATTTTACTGCACCTCCATTCATCT